AGTTGCACAGAATCCCATAAAGCATATTCAATTCTCATATCTGATTCTATCTGGTCTATAGTAGTTTGCATGAATGCAGCTAAGTGAACATTGCTGATGAAACCCAATTAATACTTTTTCGATCTCTAATACTGAATGGCAGAATTTAGCTGGAGTCTGAAGTTTAAAAAACTGTCAGAAACAACATCAGGCATGTTACTTCTACTTATTATCAGAATTCCTTCCATTATGGCTGAGTGAAAAAATCTGTTCAAAGTTCAAAACAGGTGCTTTCTACCCACATGAAAATGCTTATTCTGCAGAAATCCACAGAATTCCAGTTCCTCTTGTATATAACAAAACAGAACATTTGGTTCTAGGACACTAGGGCCCAGTTTGTTAAGATGGGTTTGATAAGTTAACTTTCTAGATTTCTCTAGAAATATTGCAAAATGTTTGTAATATGCCTTATGGATGACTAAAATCAGCATTAATTAGTTCTCTAGCTAATCAAAGAAAATGGCATTAAGTCCATCACCAAGAAGCCAAATTAATTAAAAACTTAGAGAGAAGTTAAAAAAATCATTCCTACCAGTCCTTACTACTAAAGGCACAGCATGCAAGAAACCCTAGACCTGTCACTGAAGTTGTTTTTATTATTTTTTTTAAGATAACACTTTCTTAAGATACAGCAATCCAAAGGACACTCACTTTCTTTAGCCCCAACAGTTTATATCAATGTTGTCCATTAACAGCATTAAATAGAAATACAAATATTATTATTTCAGTATCATCATAAGAAGTTTATAGCAACTTAGCTCCAGGATCCACAACTGAACAGAAAATACACATTCCTTAAAATATACTTTTCATTTGTATAAAACAACCTAAGAAATCCAGCTACCACACATGATTTGTAGCTTGTTGCATATTTACTAACAGTAATGAGTTTATACATTGTAATATGATTTATGTGGTAGACAAAGTGGTTTCTTCACTTGTCTGAAACAAATGTTGATGGAAATTTCTGTCATAGACTATTTTCTTGAATTTCAGAACTAGCAATTTAGAAAAATACAAATGAAAGGAAAAAAATATTTGGCTGATAGAGAAAATCATGATTTCTACAAAATATTCCCAGCAGCAGGCACTTAGACCACAATGTTTCTTTTAATTGATCCAGAGTGAGGGAAAAAAATTGATTTTTTCCCTGTAATATTTCAAGGCTTTTACTGTTTTTATTAGTATTCTACACAGAGTTATGAGCCTACTGACATTACCGTTGGGCTTCTTGCATACAATGCATGGCAGAGAAAATATGCAAAACTCAGCTAAAAACACATAGCAGGGATCACATCCCTAAATTTATCAGGTACTTAAGATAATAAGCTGATTCTATAATGTTTTAAGGTTCCAGATTAGAATCATCACTGTATGTGATATTTTCTTTCTGCTATTTCACATATAAGAGTCAATATTTTTACCATCAAAAACATTGTTGTCTTTGCACAAGACATCTGTGTTTCTCATAGACTCATCTTGTTTCTTTTCATTGATTCTAAAGAAAACACAGAACCATGAGTTCAGACTTCCACAGAGAGCTCTCAGACATAAGTTAAAAGAAATGATACTTAAAAACTCTTAAGACTAAGGAAAAAACAATCTTAAAATTACTCCTGATATCTAGCCCACATACATGTGGTTCTCCAATTTTATATTTTTACACACTATTTGGTTGAAAACTTTTCAGTCAAGTGTTCAATTAATCCATTGCTCTCTTACCTGCTTACCTTTTTTATCAGCCAGCATAACAAAAGCTTTCTATCACATCAGAGTTGCATCTGATGTGCAACCTGAGAGGTTTAGGTTTGAAAAGAGTTTGTTTCCAGACACTCCTCACACCTATTACCACTGCACAGCAGCCAAGATCAGCTACAGCCTATTATCTGGAATGCTCAGCACTACTGATGGCAGTGACCACCTGTGACTCCATGATCTTATACTCCGTACAAGTTTTAGAATATTTCATTTTCATTCAGTTTTCCTCCTAAGTCATGAGTATCATTACATAAAGACACTATTGCAAATGCATAGCATATTGTTTTGATAATAATGATATTTTCAGTTATAATAATTTTCTGGTGTTGACAGAGGAAAGAAAGAAAAGGCCACATGTCATTTGTGCAGCACTTTGCCAGCTGCATCCCAGGAAACCTAAGCCCAATTCTCAGTTTAGCACACATACTCACTAAGGAAGGCAATTTGGATGTTCTTCACCCAGCCCTCCCATTTACACATGCAAAACAAAATGATGACACAAAGAGCTACAGTGACAAAAGCCAAGATCTGCTTCTGTACTGAAACATGTCCCTTACGTGGAAAGGACCAAGAAATACAGCAATTGATGCTCTAGAAGGTTAAGCACCTCTGCTTTACTACAACCAATTAAAAATGAATAGCCATAAAAGTGCAGATACTACTGTAGGGTAATAAACTAGACTTTATCAGTGACAGTGGTGCACATTACAAACTTCAAACTCATTCCTTGTTCTAATCCATCAGAAACTTCCTGGCTTTAACAGGCTATAAACAGCAGAAGCTTTGAAGTCCGAGGATTAGGATCACTAATAGACAGACTGAACGAGAGACTGGCTGAAGAGCCAAGTGGAATGCCCTGAATGGATCTGGAATAAAACAAGTTCATTTAATCAAACTGACCTCTCTCTAACCATAGGCCAAGAGATTACAATGATTATAACAGCAATAAAGGGACATGGGACGCTAAAAACAAATAGTTATTCACTTCATAGGCTAATGCAAGGACAAAAATGTTTATGGTTTCAGCTGTGCTCTCAAGTCCACAATTTTAAGCTCTACAGGTTGGGGTTTTTTTTAACTAGTTTATGACTTAGTGGCAGTAGAGGCAGAAAAAAATTGAACACACTTTGATTTTCAAGATCAATACAATGATTGAAAAGAAAATGTCATTTTAATGATCTATTTGCTTCAACTCTCCTGTATCTCAGACTTACTTGAAGGAAATGTGGAAACAATTCATTTAGGTTGAATCCACCCACACTCAGTGATCACATAACTGTATATATCACTAAGCCTTTTTGCTTTTAGGAAATAACTGCTTACTGTGAAAATTCCTGTTGTTATCCATTTATACACAACAATTTTTACTCTAAAGGGCTGCAAAACATTTAAAATATGACTAAACTTGAGGTATTTAGCCCAGAAGTAATAAAGAACACTTTTTAAAGTAAGCCATAAAGTTACTCTGCTTCAAACTGCTGCAAGTTGCCAAAATGGCACATGAGCCAAATGAATGGTAGCAATAGCTTGGCTCTAAGAAGCTCTTAGGAGATCATCAATTGAGACAAGTGGTCAGGGATTAATTTCTATGTTGCATCTTGCTGCTACGCAGAATAACTAACCATGAAGAGTAGAACACAGCATCAGTTGAAGCCTCTGAAAAGAGAATTATAAAGTGAGGAGTCCTAACAACATACTTCATTCACTACAGAAGACAATACAGTATTTCTTTTGAACAGATATTCTTAGAAGGCAACATGTTTGGTCCCACAAAATCACATTTCCAGATGAGAATGACCGATCCATATGTACAGCATATGGGGACCAGGCTCATACACAGCTACTATAGCTACAGTACTTAATCCAGAGTGAGAAGAGGAGGCTTTAATTGCCCAACACAATGCTCAGGATTTTAGATTTTTGGATCTGAACACCTTGAAGAAAGCCACCCTAGGGAATGATAAGAATTAAAATGAGCAGTGTTGGAGAGGATTGTCCAGCACTGGAGAGGATTACCAAGGGCCAAGGCTAACTAGCTTCCTTCACATGGGGCAAGACCTCCCATTGATTCCATGGTGATTTCATAATAGAATTCAGTAATGTCAGGACATGTGTTTCCAGCTGAGGACCTGGGAAAAGATTAGGAGCAGCATGGTCTCGTGAGGCAGGCAGCCTGGGGATGGTAAAGAGGGGACTTGGTTGGACACAGAGCAGTCCATGGAGTGTACAATGGCATTGCATAGAAGGACAAAAAACACATGAGATAGGGATCTTGGGCTTGAAAATGTAGACAGCAAGATGTGAGGACTGGGCAGATTAAGACTGAGGTCCTGGCACAAGGGTATACCAGCAGTATACCAGGCTGGCAAAGCACACCTCAGCTACTGAAAATAATTGAGAGATTTACAGCACTGAATTCACACTGGAGTAATTAATATACCTTTGAAACCAAACCTTGTTCCAAAAATCTACACATATAAATAACTTGGGAAAATGCCTGTGAATGAGTCCCCATTTTAAAAGAACCACAAATTAAAAAACAATTTACAAACAATGCAGATGACACCAGACTCACTCACATACTACAAAGAGTAGCACACTACACCACATGTGTTGGAAAGAGAAATGTTTTAAAACAGGGACTTATTTATCGTCTTACTGAGCAAGCATTAGCATTTTCACAAGATAGTATGGAAACTCCATTTTAGACACCTGAAAAGCCCCAGATTTTCATTTCATCAATCAACCAAAATATTCACTCATTTTACAGCTTCAAGCATTCAAACTACTTTGAACCACATTTTCTCTAGAAACAGTCCAGTAGCAGCAGTATATACACTGTGACAAAAGTCTGTCTACAAAGAAAGAAAAGCAAGTATTGATCAAAAATAGGCTTTTCCTTAACTACTCCCTCCAAATATGTTAAAGACAGAAATCTTTTGCAATGTTGTATTTGTAACTTTTGATTCAGAAGTTAGCAGCACAACCACTGGTATGCTTTTGCTCTTGTTATCTACTTTGGCTTCTCTTATTTCACTTCCAAACACTTTGTCACAGAAAGTCCAAAGCGATTCTTTTGAAAGAACCATGAAATATTTCTTGAATATAAATGATGTAGAAGAGAGATCATTCTGTAACAGGTGTCAACAAACATATTATGCCCAGCTTCACCTTCCTCCACCACCCCTCCTATGGGTTTTTACCTTCTGGCGGATTCTTGTTCTGGTTGTTCCAGACTACCAACAATTTAGACAGACTGGGCACCTTAGACACCTCGGTGATAACTCGGAAAAGGCTCTCCACTCGGTCATAGGTCAGAACCACGGCTGTGAAACCTTGGGACTGAGGTGGGATCAGTGGAAGGAAGAGTGGGTTGCTCACACTGCTCCATTTCTGCAAAGGAAAACAAGAAAACAGCAAAGCAATTTGTTTAAGGTAATTTATCACACTAGGGAGCAATTCACATAGCCAGGTCCTAACCATCAGATTTGTAATTTGCTCAGATAAGGCAGGCTGACTCTCCAATTCTGACTTTGGCAATTTCTCTAAACCTTTATCCCAACCTCCTTCTTATTTAGATTTTCATTCTCGTCTGTAATGTTGCAACCAAATAGAGATTAAGGTAAAAACTAAAGTGGAAGAGGCAGATAGATTTGTGGAGAAGGAAAACCAAGGTGAATTGGGTCCAGCTAGCATGGTTCAATTATCATTTACTAATCATTATTTCAAGACATTTACATTTATAATCAGGACTCAATAAACAAAGAGAAACTTAATCAGCACTACAATTTCAGAGTGAAAAAGTGTTAATGACAACAAAACCAAAGGAACAAATCCATAAACTTGGCACAAACTATGCACCCAAGCAAAACAGGAAAAAGCAGTTACAAAGAGGAACAACGTATGTGCCAACCCCCTTTGGAGCTGACAACATGGGGGAGGAAGCAGTGAAGGGACCATTTGACAAGAATGAAAACACCAGCATTTTAGTCTCAAATTTTCCATTCCAACTGACATTCCAAGCAGGGCTCGGACAGAGAAGCAAAGGGAAAAACCAAACCCTTTGGGACAAGGTGAAAAGGGGAGTTGCGAAAGCAGAAACTGAGTGATGCTGTTTTGCAAGGAAGTTTTGAATCCTAGCCTGTAAAACTCTGAATGCTCATAAGAGGTTAGCAACTGCTGGTAGTTTACAGAAATACTGTGAAATTCTCCAGCTAAACTCATACCATAAGCCTGCTTGTAACAGGAGTAAAGTAAGTTTTACAGACTCAGAGTTACAAGGTCATATTTGTAGGTAGTAAACTGAAATTTTCTGTCACCCAATTTAGTCTTTGGTTAACTTTATACACCCAACAATCAACTTCCTCGTTTTTAATGGTTAGACATCTCTACCTACAATGACTTCAAGGATGAGGAGGATAAAGAGCCTATTTACTGAAAGACATCACAACATTTTGGTAAAGAAGAAAAAAAAATATAATGTGAATGTGATTTCCTTCTATGAACAAATCAAAACTGAAGAGGGGATAAATATGGGAGGCAGAAAAGTTAAGCACAGCATTGGCACACTCTTTTGACCAGGATGGTCTAGGAATATGTTCCAGGCAAGGACCTGTCAGTAGGAGTAATATGTTTTAGTAGACTTCCTGAAATAGTTGAAAAGACAGACTGGCCTTCAGCTACACACACTTTATCAGGTCTGGTAAAAGCAGCATTAATCTTAAACGTTTGTGAGGATCCTAATGGAAAACACAAAGTTCTAGTTTTTACCCAAGAGGAATAATAGGATAATACAGAAACAGTAATGGTACAATGTGGAACTTTGGTTCATGAAAGGGACATGGCTACCTGTAAAAGCACACTCAGTAATTCAGAAAATATACATCTATTGCTTCAGCAACTGATATGTGCAGATAAAAACTGCTTTCAGATTATTACATTTTCTAAAATTAAAGCTTTTGTACATACTTTGCTAGTTGTACAAGATGACTAGTGGCAGATGGGGACAGCCCTCTGATTTTGCTGTAGCTTCAATAATTCCTACAGCAAATCACAATCTAAATGCTACCAGAGCATAAGCCACCTCATTAAAGCTTTACTGCAACTTGCTTCCACGCAACCCCCACCCCAAGACTGTTATTATCCAAATGACCTGGTAATGTCAAGCAGCTTCTTAACACAACTCTCAGAAACCTCTTTTCATTAATACTTGAAACAGAGGTTTAACATCATAATCAGAGTGCCAAGAAAATATTATGTTTCTGTCCTACAATAAGAAATAACTGGTAGAGCCATCTGCAGACAATGTTCTATTTATTACTTACGGGTGAGAATTGCTACCTGTATTAATGGCTCCCATTTGAAGTTTTTCTAGAAATGTTTTCTCTCTGTCCACAGCACCTCCTAACAAATTGCTTGCTATAATATATTTTGAAAAGCATTAGTTCTTTTCCATAATCTAAGACTATTTTAGGTACTTACAGAAAGAAATATATCATGCATATGTGTGCAAGTATATGCATATGTACCTAAAATGGTCATGGATTTCTTCCTACAAACTTAAATTTTAGGTAAATTCCTTAAATCCCAACTTCTACTACTTTCAGAAAGGCATGAAAATTCTCCCCTGCTGGTCATAACTTAGGAAAAATAAGGCAACTTTTAAGGAGGTTTTCCTTCTGCACCTACTGATGATGATGATGGAGGGAGAGAAAAGCCTGTAGACACACACTAATGGATGGGAGAACCATGCCTCTCATTTGAGAAAAACATTTCAAAAAGGCAATTAAACATCTCTCAAGTGCCATTAAGAGCCAACCCCCTGCTGCCTGCCTGAAGAGTGTGTCTACAGTCTGAGACCTATTGACCCCACTTTCTGCAGGAAATCAGGCAAATTCAAGCCTCCATAATTTGCTAAAGTCTTCCAGATTTCTGCTTGGGAAAAGCAAACCATACAGGCAATTAATACAACAGCAACCTAATTAAATCTCCATTATGGCAGCAAAGCATGAAATGGCTAATGGCATAGGGATGGATTCTCCCAGTCACTGCTCAAGCAAGCAAGTGATGAAGGCACATTTACTCCATTCCCATCTTTATTAACATTCTTGATGGAAATTCACAGGAACTTTCACTTCAGAGAGGAGAGCAAACAGCAACAGTACATTGATCATCCATCACCTTTCTTTGACAAAGTGCTGACACTCAGCTATGGATAAGACAACCCTTCACTATCACCCTCCCAGCTAATATCATTAGAAGAGCCAGGATAATTAATCCAAGATTAATAGGTTACTTGCTGTGAATCATTTTTATGGGCAAAAAGGATCAAATTGAAAAGTTAGTTTCCTAAGAGTAATTTCGTGTCACTTAAGTCTCAGCTGTCTGACAGCTCTTTGCAGTTCATATGAAAATCCAAAGTAGTGGATTGTGAGTGGGAATGGCCTGAAGTTGGAAGAGGGGAAAAGTCAGGAATGTATATGTATATACATAAGGATTCAGACTGTCCTGTACATGCTTTCTACAAGTGTACATGTGTGATAATGCCTTAGAAACAAGGCACCTTCTTTTACTATAGCTTGATCAAATATTGACCTCGCTTTCGGTCATTAAAAAGAATCTGATGCTACTTTAGGAAAAATAAATATATTAAGGTTGATGTATCAAGAGACCTGAATTCTCATGATGTGACAGGCTTCAGGCTGGATTTGATGTAGAGTCTTCAGGTTCAACTTAGCAGGGAAGCTTATAACAGACCTTTCTTAGCAGGGTACAGAAGGGAGACAGGTGGGAGCTTCACTACATCAGTGAAAATAACTGGACTGAGAAATGGACAATCTTAATATTTAAATTCTGTAGAACCTCAGAGATATTGGTAAAACATCAAAGGTAATGAAGACTTGGTCCTGTCCCAAAACTTCTTAACTGGCTGTTCACCATTGAAAGAAACTTGAAGAAAGGAACAGTAGACACATTAGAAACTACATCACAGAATGGTCTGTGGGAAAACAATGCTGTGTAAGATGTTCCATATTAAAGAAGAATCAGGAACTGAAGTTCCCAGCTATCATTTAGAGGGAAAACTCAGCAACAGCACTTAAGAAGAATAAAATTTCACTGCTCCCATGAACAAGACAGTGAGCTTTCCCACCTGTGTATTTTATTTTCAACACCTAGCCTGCTTGCTGTAAACTACCTATTACTGAGAACACATAGTCTGAACAACAAATCACTGTTTTTTTAAAACACAGAGGTTAGGACAGCAGTGTACTGAACTTAGTAGTTGACCAGTCCTATACATCTAAGCAAAACAGAGATATATCCCTTGCCACTGTGGTTAAGGCTTTTTCAGCTGGGTTGTTCTTTAAATCAATCTAACTTCAACATGGTTTCAATTATGAATTACCAGACCAAAAAAAGCCTTGATTTATTCTGTTTTTCTCCAATTATTTATGGTAAGTTTCAATTCAATACTTTGAGAAAGTATTTCATCATGCTTCCCATCCTCAAGTGGTCACAGGGCAAACCCAAAGGAATTAACCCTCCCTACTTGTCCAGAGCCAACCAAAGTGGTTACACACAACAGAATTACAAACAAAGTTGCATGGCCATCATTTCATGTTTTAATGAAGGTCTTAAACCCTCCTTACATAAAAAATTAGCCACAAGACAGACAGGAACTTCTATCCAGTGTAGAATAATCCATTGTGTAAGAAAAGTATCCTAACTCTGGGCAGGTAAATTAAAGAACCAACTGTTAAATCGTGTTTCGCGCTCACATAAAAATACCAATGTTTACATCTGAATACATGTGGCATATTCAACCAGTCCATAATATTAATACCAAAAAAACTCATCAATAAACTGAAATTTATTTAGTATTTTAAAAAATCCCTATCTTCTAACAAATAAAGCAAAATTTGATCCAGCTGATTGAAACCATCACACGAGTAGCTGGAAAATACAGCAGAAACAGAAATCTAATCTTGTTCAATGGAAAAAACCCAGATATGCACTGCCCAGAAAAGTGCTAGCTTGTTCTCATTTACAGGTAGATAAAAAAGTGTATGCTAATATTTGCTTAATGCTTTGGAGATGACAAATGGTACTAGGAGGGAAGCACAGTTATAAGAGTAGCATTAACTGTAGACTGAGGACTACTTAAGCTTTGGTAAATGAATGGCATTCTGGGCACCAAGATAATTCGGCTATTTTAGCTTACACCAAATGATGGTGCTGTTTTCTGCCTCACTGGAAGAAATGAAATCTGGTATGTTTATTGTTCACATACTGATATTCTCAAGTGATTATTAAGCTCTGGTCTGTATCATCCAAGGTCAGAGCTCAAAAGCAGCCCCTGACAAAAAAACCATCTAATGTTTCATAGGTCTACATTATAAACAGGCTTGAAAGAATTTCAACAAAGCAGCTGAAGAATTCTGAAAAAAACCTTACTCATTTTTCAGAAACCCATACATATTAGTGAGGTATATGGCAAAGAGGAGAATTTTAGTAATTGACAGCAAAGCACAAGTGAGGAAGTAATTTACCTCTATTAGAGCATAACAAAATACTCAATTGAAGGTAACAGATCACATCTCAAGCCCAAGTCATTATTTCTAATCCAGCTCAAACTAGTAACCATTAAAATGCACACCATAGAATCACTTTTTTTCTGGCTTACTTGGACGTAACTGATTGCTTCTGCCTAATGGATAATGGTTGGGCCAAAAAATACAAAAGGCATTAAACTTCCACGCCTGCATCCAAAAACTGTCTGAGACACAAAGGGCTCAAGAATTTCAGATCCCAAAAGTATCATTTGCTCCTCTTCATTAAAAGGATAAAATATGTTGTAACACATTTTTATTCAAAGTATTATTCCACAACATATTAGCATATTATATGCTACAAGTCTTCCATTTCCTCAATAGGATAGTGAATAAGTAGAAAAATAATCCACTTCATTACTTTTTTTTTTTTGCTTGAGAAAGGCCAACAGTCCTCTATCAGCCCATAAAACCCATAAAACTGCTTGGACCGCTTCCCCTGTGCAATGTACTAAGTATGGAATTAACTGTATATGCATTTATCTTCTGCCCACTGTATATTCCCTCCTGGAAAAACACTCTCCTGTACCACTGCTGGATTGACACTGGTGAAGATACTCAGGCAACAGTCTTACTAATATTTTGAGCCAATATAAGTCAAACTAATGCCAAGAAAAGCAGCCTTCAAGCCACCCAGTCCCTCCCTTACCCACACCCCCACTCTTTCCTTTTTCTCTTGCCTGCTAAGTTTTATATAAGGAACATTATTTTGGCTAATTCACCACAAGTGAAATAGAAATATATATAAAAAAAAAGGTTGCATATGAAAGAGTAAACTGTGACCCAACTGTAGAAGAGTGTAGGACTGCTTCTTTGTGTATGAATCTAATTCTGGAAGCAAACACATGAAGCTACAATTCTTCAACAAAATTCAAAGTATAATGTACACCTTGGAGAGTTACAAACCATTCTAATTGTCAAAGTAGAAATAATGGTTACACTGCTTTGTCTAACACCTGAAGCAGTTGTAACAATTGAACAGCACAACAATTAGTAACCAGGACATTTTAGCAAACTTTTTCTGTTATTTCTCAGGATTCTAGTGACCTACTAAGCAAAATTAACCCCTATAAGCACACACAAAAAAATCCCCCCACCTTAAACCAAGGAGGCAGACAGGTAAGAAACCAGGGCCAAGAGTTTTTTCTAAGTACCTTCAGTGCATAATGATTTTGCACAGCAAGCTCTTCTTTCTGTTAGATTGGTGAATTTGTCCTAGCAAGTAAATTCACAAATCCCTTAAAGCTGGCATTGTCCTGTACAGATATTCCATGGGCAAATCTGTGCTCTCATTTTCAAAACCTCACGATTGGGAGCGTAGGGATCTGAGCTCTATGAACAGCCTTGTACTGATTAAAGAAATTTCTGGCTAATTTCAGTAAGCTTATCACTTAAAGTAGTGATTGCACCTCTGCACCTCTTGTTAATGTGCCTACAGCTTCTACACACACTTTCTGCACCTTTCTGTTCCTACAGAAACCACATAACAGGAACAAGTGTTCAGAAGAGCATTGCACTTAATCCCTACTCTTCCATCACCACAGGAACAACAAGCACAGCTAAAGAAACTGGCTGCACTTGGCTGAGTTTGAAGGCAGAATACACATGGCAAGTTCTGGAGGTTAGTTCTGGCCAGTAACATAAGAATTTATGACAGTTACACTTTTCACTGTGGTATTAATGTTAATTCACAGGTGCTAATTTTAACAATTAACTGTATCAGCCCTGAGACTGACCTGAAATTACTTTCTTTAAAAGCTTCAGTCATGAGTTTATTTACAGAAGAATATAGCAATTTTCTTGTAAACAAAAAGGACATTAGTTACTTTGCCTTCTTATCAAAGTTAGAGGATACAGCTGCCATTTTCTGCTGCCTCAAACATACATATTTAAGTCCTGCCAACTATAATGTTTCATCCAGGCTGACTAGAAACTATAACAGTGCTATGAGTGGATATTAGGCAGGAGTTAGATGAGATGCAGGCTCAAATGGATTATTACTGGCCAAAAACCAGACAACTTTGAAACTCTGATAAGTGCATTTATTAAAAAAAAAAAAAAAGTATAGGGTAGAATCCAGGAGATGTTTTTAGGTTCCCTTTAAAGACTGAGTAATCCTTAAAGCATTTTCTGCATTTCACTAAGTGTGTTTAAAGGTGTTTGGTTCTGCTACCATAATTGTAAAGGTGTTACGATATTCTGATACTCTTCTTGGGGAGTACACACTTGTGCAGATTAATTTCTTCCTCATATGCTGACCAGGGCTACATTTCCTCTCCAAGAAATGACAAGAGGAGATTATTAATGTCTTTGGCTTGGCAATGGAAACACAGCTTCTGAAGCACAGCAATGAGCTTCTAACTCTTCATCACCAACTGTTCACACTACATGGGTCTGAAGAGTTTAAAGTAAAACACACTCTACTCCTACCCAGCTTTCTTTCTCTAAACTATCATAAAGCAAGACAATTAACAGGTTTGGTTTTATTAGTAAAACAAAACTATTTTTTATATTTTGACACAGAGAAAATTAACTGATTATTAGTGAAAATCATCTACAGGCTTTTATATAGTAAAAAAATCAGAACCAGCTGCTTGGTGCAGGAGGTTAATTAATACTGCACTGTTTTTTCTTAACAGAAGTCAGTTCAACCAGTGAAACTTTAAATTAAACCAAGAACAGGCAAAAAAAATTCAGTAAAACTTTGATCATCTGTTCCTGTATAAGAGAAACTGTTAAGTAATAACATAGAGAAAATTGTAGGATAAGAATAATTATCCACTTCAACAGAATTAAAAGAAAAATCATTGCAGATTTTTTGAGATCTTCAGTATTTCCACTGTTTTCTCTGCATCACATAGACTGTGTCCAAATATATACAGTGCCCCAAACTCTCCCTGAATAAAATAGAAAAAAAGTGTGTGTGTGTGTGTGTGTGTGTGTGTGTGTGCGTCAAGGAAAAATAAATAAATATATAAACAAGGAAGCAATTTAATGTGTGCAATAGCAAAAGTTAAAAGTTCTCATCTTAGTGCCAGGACATAAAACAAACTGCTAGTTATTTTGCCAGCTGTCATAAAATATATTAGCTTCATCTGTGCAAGTTACCAGCAGAACGCATACACACACAAACTCAGACACAGAATTATTACCAAATTTCATAGCACATACCTCTTATATGAGGAAAAGAAATAAAACAAAACCACAATTTATTTTATGAGTAAATCAAATGAATTTACTTACCACAGCTGGGGGATCATTCCATTCTTCATAAGAAATGGCAGCATATGGGTAAATTCTATCATTGATAATCTGAAGAGTAGCGAGAGCAATTGCTTTCATTGATCGAAAATATGCTTCCCAGAACCACCTTGCCTGTAAAGAGAATAAAATTCACTTTCACATTGCACAGATCCAGTGCTTAATAGCCAATTTTGGCTTGCCATGCACAATCTGTTCCATGCAGTCTACATATCAGGTGGAAATTAAATTAGGAGGCATGTTTATTGTAGATAGAGTATTTCCATAATGCCTGAAGGCTTCAAACTCAACTCCACCCCTTAAAAGGACTCACAGCCAATAAAAAGAAGCAGCAGCATTATTCTGCAAGTGGTTAAACAGAATAAAAATATTTGAAGGAATCAAGTATTTTCACACTTAGATCATATGTTTTCATCCTGAAAAATGTCAAAAGCAGTTTGACCATTGAACAAAATAAATTACTGCTATACTCCATTTTTTCTAAGGCAAAGGAATCCACAGTGAAGTTAAATAGTCAAATAAAAGCATTCTGCCTGAAAGGCAGAACTTAGAAGTCATTTTTAACATCAATATTAGAGACACTTGATCATGATAGAGAATTTCAGTATTCAGGAACCCTACCAGACTAATAGCTTCCCAAGTGTTCCAAGAAACCTAATATTATTTATACAATTAAATTATTATGATTTTCACATAAAAGTACATGTACATGCCAATTTATTACAATCATAAATCCAGGCTAATTTCTAGCACAGTGTAAAACTGCTGAAATGAAGCATGAGGTTGTTATACACAAGTGCTCTGAATTTCAAGATGAGTTGTTCCAAAATTAAGGTCCCATAGTTTTCATCTTGTCCCAGTTTTTGTGTCAGACTTTAATTACCGAAGAAAAGGAGGGGTTTGGAAATGAAAATGCTGACTTATCTGACTTTCTGTTAAGAGATATAAACATACTTTTTCATTCCCTAGAACTATCAAATAATCCTGTAGGTCCCCATGCAACCCAGAAGGAAACATGCTTTACCAAACTACACAGTTCAAGAGTTCTGGCCCAAAAGATATGACTTTTTTCAACCTTACTTTTCTTCAGTAAACTGCAGCACATTGTACTCTCCAGAAATTAATTTCATTTGCAATCTCCCTATGTTTAATTACCAGCTATAAGAGTAATTAACTCTTATATAATGTGTTTGCATCCAGAAGGTAGAGCAATTAAAACAAATGCATTTTTTCATTCCTTAGGACCTTTAGAAGTTTTCAGAGTCAGGACACAGCTGAAGACAATACTCAGATTTGGGCAAGTGCTATTTTACTCTTGCTACAGATTTCCTAAATAGCAAAAAGGCTCTACACACAGTTTTAATAACATGCTATGAAAATATTAAATAATTTTATTTATCTTTTTTAGTTACTGTATTAATTACATTATTTAATTACTGAAGGAATACCAAGTTTCTGGAGGTACAGATCTTAGGATGAACCAAAAATAATTCTTGTTTATCTGTTTTTAACAAATGCCAACAGATCTCACTCTGCAGGTCAGTACTTTTTAACAGAAGACACACATGATTCCTGCATTTACCCTTCCTTTTCGATACTCCTAGACTAAATAACAGTATAGAGGAAATATTATAAGCACAAACTTGCACATATTCATGTTTATGCTACCCTGTACTTTACTCTGAATGTAAACTATGGGGTTTAGAACTACAGACTAGTTGCTGAACCACCAGCCCAAAAACTCTACTCTGTGAGTAAAAAAAAATAAATTAAAAAAATCTGTAAAACAGATTCTGCAGAATATTTCTGCAACAAAATCCATGTTACAATTTAAAAAGCAAACTAGGAAAGAGGTTATTTCTCTCTGAAGCGCTACGTTTACTGTGCGAACAGTTGTAACTCTGACTATTCCAGGCTATTGCAAAATTTTACTGCAGAAAGTGATGGGTATGTCCAAAATGACACTACTCTGGAGCTTGTCATCCAGAGAGAGTGCAAAGCCACTTCAGTTTAGAATAGAATCACTTCCCTCTCCTTATTTCTCTTCCTGATAGGACTTAACAGCTGGACAACAGGCTGATTACCAAGAACACGGAACAAAATTACTACCACATTCAAGTGTAAAAGCAGAAGAATTAGATAAACAGTTAAGAATAGGTAAAAAAGATAATAAAGCAAACACTACATGCTAAGGAAAAGCATTAGTTTTCTTCCCCCATGTCCTATCCCTTAAGAAAAATATACTCTCAAAACCAGCAAACTATTTAAAAAGAAAACCAGAAGCAGATTAAGAATTGAAATGGACTACAACAGCTAACTTCTAAAGTATGCTAAATAAAAACTATTCCAAAATTTATTTTCATGATAGACAACAGTTTAGAACAATTGCTGCAAGCAGCACTAAGTAGGAAGGAGAAACTATTTTATGTAGTTTCATGTATGCTTTTAAAATACAACTTTATAAGCAATTAAGTAACTATTAATGGTATGTAATACAGGATTATGTATTCCACTGATATTAAATTACAGCATTCCTAGAATGTTCTAAGATTGTTTATTAATACCATAATATCTGTTATGATCTAGCTTCATAAAAATCAAAGATGGTTTTCTTCCTTCAGCAAAACTAGGATGGATCTGATCTAGCTTCTCTTTGTTTAAAGAACACTTGTAATGTCAGGGAAGATTACACCTTTATACCAGAAGGAAATCTGGAGAAGAGGGCAGAGGGAATTTATGTTTTATAGACTAATATTTATGTAATTAATTTTTTGTAGAGAGCCATAAAATGTTCCCACAGTTGGTTGTAATATTTTTTGAGTTGTGTTTCTTTAAGGCAGAACTCAAAACCTTCTAAGGGGATTTGAAGTCCCCAAACAGATGTTTCAGGGTCTCATTACTTCCTCCCCACCTTGTTTGCTTTTATAAAGCAGAATTGATTAACATAGCTTGCTAGTGTCTGCTGCTCTGCATGCTGAGTTACTAAATATTTTGGGAAAGTTTTCTATTGGGAAGATGTATGTTGATTCCATTTGAAATCTCTTTTCTACTCTACTTGGTGAGGTTGAAAAGCTTATGTTGGAATGTAAGAAACAGAGGAGATAGAAATCCCATGAACACATTTGTGATGCAGGAGAGAGTAACAACAACAAAAGAAAAAGGTTTCTGTTCCAGACTCCTATGCCAACTTTCTTATTATTCTTACATAGCTTTACTGAGCTCTCTGTTCCTCTTTTTTCTATCTATGAATCCAGAAAACTCAAGAGTAACTTTACTACACTAAGGAATGTTTTTAAGGTGTGGCAATTGTAATGCACTAATTAGAGCTACATGAACATTTTCAGGATCTTGAAATAAACAATCCCTAAGTCCAGACCTTGGCTTTCACACAAAATTGATCATCTACATAGTCTACAACTATGATAAAGTCAGACTCCTCCTTTCAACCTGAACTGAAATTAGCTTCTAGTACTCTAGAAGCCTGCTTGATGAGGTTTCCAGATTTTTCTAGGGAAACACACCATATAGACCACAGACTTGTACAGAAAGCTAGCTTTGTATACACCTAAATATTGCTTAGGCCATGGGCAACCTAGGTGGTTGATAGAGATCAAACATGTACTTTGTTTGCCAAGACAACACAGATCAATGTACATTAACCTCAATGGCTTACAAGGAATTGAAAACAGAAAGAAGAAATACAATGTCTCTTCTCTTTCTAAATTTCTGAATACATAGAAAATCTAGGATAGATCCAAAATAAAAGACAGAAAAACATTACTTTTGAAAACAGTTTTACCAATGCTTTGAAGAGTCAAATCTAGCACACTGTATGATTGACTGACAGTGAGAAATACATTATATTATTGGGTTGCCCAGTGGGTTGGAAGTGACTGGAAGCTCTCATTATACAATAGATTGCCCATGAAATTAGTTCATCTGAATTCAATTTCAGCAGTAAAGTTAACAAAGCCATGACAAGTTAATTATGGAAGTTAAAGACTGAAGGAATTGGAGACCAAATTCACTCCTCTCGCCAAGCAGTGAGTGCTGCAGAGTAAGTTTACAAACATGGGCATGCCAGTAAGTAGTTCTAAGTTGTTGTTGATGCCCTTCCTTTCTTTCTTCCTCCTGCCCCACTTCCAACTGCTGCATCCTCATAGATTAGCTGTGAAAACCCATCACTTCCTGTGAAGGCCAAAATTTCTTAACATAATGTAGTGTTATCAATTTATCTCTACAAATACACATGCACATATTGAGAAAGACTAGCAATATCTGCAAGACAGATGTTCTTTAAACCAAGTAAGAAAGCATCCAACCCAAAAGTTCAATTCCACTTGTTTTCAGTTCCAGGATTTAGTTCAATCAGGCTACAAAGAAACTAAAATGACAATATTCATTCAATACATACCAGAACAGGCAAGAGCTTGGGAGGGAGAATTTGCACTTATTTTCATACCAGACAACAGGCAGCAGCACACAACAATAGGGCAGCCTACTTATAGAAAGTAACATTTATTTAGGTAAGGTGTTTTTTTCCTTAGAAATAAACACACTTGGGGGCCTAGCATCTCTTTATAAGCTCTTTACAAGCCAACATAGCATCAGGCTACAAAGTCTATTCATATAATGTTTATAAGTTCTAGTGCTAATGCCATTAATGGTGCCCTGGTGTGGAGTGCAAGACAGATCAATGTAAATCTTTTGATTGGTTTGTGAAAAAAAAACAAACAACTGGGCATAAGGTAAGGAAAGGACTACCTTCTGTAACATTTAGACCAAGGGGAAAACAGTCCACAAAAGGAACTTTCTAGCCTTCTGTCTTTTCACAGCACATGATTTGGTGTGAGTCCGTGAAAGTAGCAAGAAAGGAAAAAAAATTCGCAAAAGAGTAGTAAAATTTAACTGCCCATAAACCACCACTCTTCTCAACTTGTAGGTCAGGCGCCATGATGCTGTGAGATTCTGCCCCACTGCAGCAGTTCAGTGTTTCCAAAATGCCATGAAAGGGTTTACAAGACCTTGAAATACAACCATTTTCACACCACCTATGGTGACTCTACTTAAATGCTTTCCCTTCTTAATGGCTCTTGGTGTTCCTAGCTTTTATT